AGTACGGTAGACTGTACCAATGAGGTTCGAGAACTGAAAAAAAAAATTCGTATCAAGCTTATTTATGCGTTACTGTTATAGCTGATAATGCTGGCATAATGACTAACCTTGAAATCAATTCTCATCGACATCACGTCCACTTCGCACTATGCGATAAGTTGTCCAAGAGATCAAAGACCAGGACCACAGGAAAGTTACCTGAAAAAGAAATGTGTTCCCGAAAAATCAAACTCATACAAAACACAATTCGAAACAAAAAAAAAAAGCAACGCGCACCAGAATAGCCGGTGCGACCATGCGTCTTGTGCAATTCAGCCCATCAAACGATTGCCTATTAATGATTTTCATTGCATTGTACTTCAGTCTATGCAAAAATAGTTCAAACATTGGAAAACAGTTAGAAATTTCACTTACCAACGCATGAAAGCTGAATCCGATAGCTTGAAAGGTGAATATCTTCCCGTGATTCCCGAGTTAATAGTTTACCCGCCAAAATTTTCACGAGGCCGTATGTGACACTCAAGAGCGCGGGAACGCTGAATTTGAATGGGCAAGGTTGAGCCTGGGCAGGGGATCATTACCCTAAAATTTCAGCCTTCTAGATTCCGTGGTTCCCGAGATATTAACCTACCCGTGAAAAACTTTCACGAGGCCGTACGTGTTACCCGTGGGTAAGGGAAAGCTCAATTTGAATAAGTTGCGCGTGAGCAGGGGGTCATTACCCTAAAATTCCAGCCTCCTAGACTCCGTGGTTCCCGAGATATTAAATTACCAGCGGAAAACTTTCGCGGGGCCGTACGAGTTACCAGCGGGTAAGGAAGGCTGAATTTGAATTTGCCGCGTCACCCGTTGGGGGGAACACTATAGCAAAATTTCAGCCGCCTAGCTTTTGTGGCCCCCGAGTTGAAAGTGCGGGACAAAACGTGGGACACACACACACACACACACGCACACACACACACACACACACACAGACAACCCCGTGACAATATGCGTTTCGTAACGCAGTTACACAGCACAAAACGCATAAAAAATTCACTCACACAAAGCACGATGAGATCAGACAGCTGGGAAATGGTTATCAATCAAAGTGGATTAAGAAATTAACGTGTTTTGACAACGCTACAGGCTAAACCAATGACGCGATAATTTGTCAGTGTGACTGAGCAAACTGCGAGAAATTTTTATTCCCAAAATTATTAAGACGTGATAATAAGATTATAAATATCCCACTGAACAACTACTTTACTAACTGGCACAAACGTCTCACCGATGGTGTGCTGTTTCACGACACGGCCGATAGGCGTATCGCATCAACAGTTATGGCAGAATACCTAACAAGCTCAACTATTACAAACAACAACGCACTGGGAAGAATAGCAACAGCACAAACTGAGACAATTTCAATAATGATGTGACAACCGGTAATCTCTTCATCACAGCATATCGACAAAAATCATTACAGTTAGCGATTTTACAAGAATCAAAGGAATGAACTAAAATTTAAATTAGAAATTCCGCTACTTTCTGAAGAAAGAACAATTTCATGATAACGGTGAAAGTTTAAGGGTATCAAATTGTAATTAAACAGCTAAACAGGAATGTTTCAGTCTCAATGATATATCGATATCGTTCCATTCTCAGATTAAATAGTTGCCTGTGGTTAAGGAGTTTATACTGCTTGTTGTTGCAAATAACACTTTGATCTAAATGCTTTTTCTAACAGTATTCATGACTAGATAAGTGTATCAGTGATATCACCGACAAACAGGGCAAATTGAAATAATACGATGTTACACAATACTTTGTCCAATAATCAATGAAAAGCTTATCTGCCAGTAATGAGAAGTGCAAATTACAGCTGTCTATCTGCACAGAGAAGGGTACGACATCGATGTACCATCCGAATAAATATACAATCAAAAATCTTTTAAAATGTATCATCTTTTACAGAAAACTCCTCCAGCACTTTGTGTGTGATCCTTACTATCCAATCATCAGGCATGCCTTATATGCCTACGTTTCACAGATCAAATAAGCAAAAAATTATTAAATAACAAGAAAGGAGAAAGACCATCAGCTATGTCTGCTTCATAAAACAGCATAACACATACAAACAGACAAACACAAAGAGTATCAGAAATAGCCAAAAT